TGTTTGCCAGGCGCCCTCTTTTTTAGTATATAAGCCCGGCAAATAAAGCCAGCGATAGATAGATTGAAGATATGGATAATTGAGTCAAGCGAACAGTAGGCACGTAAGTAAAGTGTGTGAATCACTGTGATTTATAGCGTGTGTTTATAAAAGTAGTTAAGTTTAAAGTGACTGTGGAAATTAAGTGTATTACAAAGTTTGTAACGAGAAAGAATACACTAGTTTTAATTAAGAAAGGACTTGTATCGCTGAAGTTTCTCGGAAAGGAATTATACCGGAAATTATCAAACGAGCAGATACATAACAGTACGTTCACAATATGTCAGCAAAACCCATTAGAAAACCGTAAGCTAGAGTTGAAAGTCACAAAAAAAAGACTTGCATTTAACTGGAAAGCTAAAATGAAGTTATGGCAGCTACGATATTTCCAACTTATCAAAGTATATTTTTCAACGTATTAAATACGATGTGAACACAAACCATGATGATGAAGAACGCTCAAAGTAAAACTGTATGGAGAGAAGAAGTTCTTGTTAAATTAGTTTAATGTGTGTGTGTTATTATAGCAAAGCCACGTCGAGCTATCTGCTGTGTCCACGATTTTTAGCGTTATATATCCGAAGACTTACCGCTGTCCCACCGGAGGTCAATTCGCTTAAATACAGTAACGAAAATATTCTGTAAAGCAAAAAAGGATAACGTAAAAGTTAAAGGTGGGTTCGCACAGCTTCAACAGAATTAAAATAAGTCATATAGATGTGTGAAACTCTTCGGTAAAACCGGTCAAAAATCTTTGTTATTGGGGAAAATATTTTGTAAAAAGTCCGGCATCTTGGTTTATTTAAAAATTGAACAGCAGTTTAATAGATCAGAATTCAACATGAAGTCCTACAAAGGCCTGTCTCATAGGAAAGAAAGACTGAATTACTTAGATCAGTAGCAATATAGCAAAACATAGAAGTTTAAGTATATCCAACATCTTCCAGTTTCGAGTGCTTCGTACATCATTATGGACAGCAACAGAAGCAAAAAAATAATAATAGCACATTAATTATTATAGATCCCAATCAAATGAAATGTGTGAAGGAGCAAATGAAACAATTTAAGGCCATGATAAGAGTAAAGATGCAGAAGAATCCTGTTGACTAGGATATTATATTGCCTTTTGTGCTTTTTGCATTTGAGAAGTCCCCCAAGCTACAAGAGGATTTTCATTCCTTGCGTTACTATATTGCAGAGGTGTTAAAGGTCCACTAGAACATTTTAAAATGAACTGGTCCAAACACAAAGCGAAGTCTCGATACACGTTAGCATATGTGACCAGCCTAAAGCAAAGGGTCAGAAGTTAGCGACTGAAGCTAGTCAGAAGAAGAAGGATAAACAAAGGCTTTATTACGATAAGAATGCTTGAGAATGTGAACTTAAGGTTAATCAATTAGTTGTGGTACTGGGCCCAGTATCCGAAAACAGCTTAGTGGCAATATGGATAAGTCCTTTACCTATAATCAAGTGTGAAGGTAAAGCATCTGGTAACGGACCAATGGTTCTACAGAGTGAAGAATGATAACACAAAACTGTTGCAATGGAGAGTTTAATATTACAGTAGGTTACAGACCAGCGAGGGGACATCGAAATGCAGAAATCGCGCTTGAATTATTAAGATCAGTCCGTGACCTTGCTCTGATTAAAACTAATATATATATCGTACATTTAGCTACGGTTAAAACTGGTGTGTGTGTGTGTGTGTGTGTGTGTGTGTGTGTGTGTGTGTGTGTGTGTGTGTAGTGTGTGTGT